GGCCTAGACCCTTCATCAGATGAAGGGTCTAGGCCCGAAACGTCAGCCTCTCTGCTCCTATGATGCTGCTTGGCCTGCTGTGTTCATCCAGCCCTGCACCTTGTTGTCTCGGATTCTCCAGCATCTGCAGTTCCTACTAGCACTAACAGAGGTCTCTTTTATGCAACATCAAAAACCAACTGAATTCAAACTCCTGGAATCCAGTGCAAACCAGTCAACTCTTCAACTATTAGCATTGTCCTCAGAGAGCTTCCACACACTAGAAATAAAACCTAACTTGAAGTAATTTTCAGTTAATTTTTTTCTTATTTATTCATGGGATGAGGTTGTCACTGGCTGGGCCAGTATTTATTGCCCATCCCAGAGGCAAGTTGAGAGTCAACCCAATTGCTAAATTAAAGAGGCTACTATCTCTGGCAGAGAGATAGGACCGGGAGACTAGTAACCAGATGGGATTTTACAACAGTAGTTAACACTTACCATTTGACTAGATTTTTAATTCCAGATTTTTACTGAATTCAAATATTACCATCTCCATGGTGGGATTTGAACCCGCATCCCCAGAACATTAGCTCGGGTTCTAGACTACTAGGCCTCCTCTGCCTCCTCTGTTAGTAACTGCTAGCAGGGACTGAGGATTGCGTGTTTTGTAGAAATGGAATGTTCAGCAGAGGGCAGCGACGATGCTGATTGGCGGTTGAGGTGAAGATTTGCTTCAGTGCAGTCACCAGCAGCAGAAGGAGGACGTCAGCAATACTCCCTCCGAGTTCGAGTGAAGACAAGCGTTCAGCAGAGGGCGGTGAAGACGATGATTGACGATTGGTGTGAAGATTTGCATTGGCACAGTCACCGTGACCAAACAGGGGTTTGAGGAGAAAGTGTTGTCCCTTGACAAGCTTCAAACACTGTGGCATATCTGGGAGGGGGAGATGTATCTGGATGCTGTGTTTCAGGAGACAGTCACACCTGGTAGGTTAAGTACTTCAAATTTGGTCAGTGGCTGGGGACAGTAGTGGGATCCTGCATTCAGGAACAGAGGAGCCTCAGCTCTTGACCTTGTCCAACATGTATGAGGTACATGCTCCCTGTGTGATGAGGAAAAGGGCTGCAGGGAAGATGAGCCAACTAACCACTGCACCGTGAAAAGGAACCCCTCTTTCCTGCACCACCTCTTTAGCCACGTTTTTGCTTCCCTTTTTCTCGTGTCCCTATGCCAATTTGCAGGTGGCTCGGGCTGTAATCAGGAGATTATAACCCTTGAGGACCTGTTCTTTAATTTCATTCGTAGCTCCTGATAATCCCTAAAAGTGGGGGTGGGGTGGGCAGGAAAGGGTAAAAACTTCCCCCAGTGGGGAAGAAAGCAACAGACTAACATCTTTAGGGGTAGATGCCACTGTGTGGAAAAATATGAAAAAAATGACAGGAAAGGAGAACTCAGGAGAGGTTATTAAAGTCTCCAGCACAGACACAAATAGGACAGAGTGTTTGGAAAGGGTTAGGAATCAAACACAGGATGAACGAATGACAATGAGAAGAGGGACGGTTAATACAGGACTGAAGGTGTTGTGTTTGAATAAATGCAGCATAAGAGAAAGGTAAATGAGCTTGTGGCGCAGATCGAAATTGGCAGGTATGACGTGGTGGGCATCATAGAGACATGGCTACAAGGGGAAAGATAGGCAGATGGACAGAGGGGGTGGGGTTGCCTTATAAATAAGAAATGACATTAAATCAATAGTAAGAAATGAAGTAGGGTCAGATGGTGTAGAATCTGTGTGGGTAGAGTTGAAGAACTGCAGAGGTTAAAAAAACCGTAGTTGGAGTTATGTACAGGCCTCCAAATAGTAGTCAGGAGCCAGAAGACACCAGTAGACAGAAAATGTATGTAAGAAAGGCAAAGTTACAGTGATCATGGGGGATTTCAATATGCAGGTGGGAAAATCATGTTGGTAGTGAATTGTAAGACAAGCAGTTTGTGGAATGTCTACGAGATGGCTTTTTGGAGCAGCTTGTGGTGGAGCCCACTAGGGAACAGGCAATTCTGGATTTAGTGACGTGCAATGAGGCAGACTTGATAAGGGAGCTTAAGGTGAAGGAACCCTGAGGAGGCAGTGATCATAATATGATTGAATTTACTCTGCAATTTGAGAGGGAGAAGATAGAGTCAGAGGCAATGGTATTACAGCTGAATAAAGGCAACTACAGAGGCATGAGGGAGGAGCTGGGCAGAATTGACTGGGAGAGGAGCCTAGCAGGAAAGACAGTGGAAGAGCAATGGCAGGAGTTTCTAGGAGTAATTAAGGAGATGCAGCAAAAATTCATCCCTAGGAAGAAGCAGCATGGTACAGGGAGGATGAGGCAATCATGGCTGACTAGGGAAGTCAGGGATAGCATAAAAGCAAAAGAGAAAGTATATAATGTGGCGAAGGGCAGTTAGAAGCCAGAGGATTGGGAAGGTTACAAAGACCAACAGAGGGCAACGAAAGAAGAAAAAAGGAGGGAGAAGATTAAATATGAAGGTAAGCTAGCCAGTAATGTAAAGGAGGACTGTAAGAGTTTCTTTAGATATATAAAGGGCAAAAGAGAGGCAAAAGTGGAAATTGGAATGCTGTAAAATGACACTGGAGAGATAGTAGTGGGGAACAAGAAACTAGTTGAGGAACTGAATAATTACTTTGTGTCAGTCTTCACAGTGGAAGACACGAGTAATATTCCAAAAATTCGAGAAAGTTGGGGGCAGAGCTGAGTATGGTGGCCGTCACGAAGGAGCAGGTGCCAGAAAAATTGATTGGCCTGAAAGTGGATAAATAACCAGGACCAGATGGACTACACCCCAGAGTTCTTAAGGAGACAACTGAAGAGACAGTGGAGGCGTTAGTGGTGATCTTTCAGGAATCACTAGAGTGAGGGAGGGTCCCAGAGGACTGGAAAATCGCTAACGTGACACCCCTGTTTAAAAAGGAACTAAGGCAAAAAATTGAAAATTACAGGCCGATTAACCTGACCTTGGTCGTGGATAAGATTTTGGATTGTAAAGGATCAGATTTCTGAATACTTGGAAGTGCATGGTACAATAGGGCAAAGTCAGCATGGCTTCATCAAGGGGAGGTCATGCCTGACAAATCTGCTAGAATTCATTGAGGAAGTAATGAGCAGGGTAGACCAAGGAGAGCCAATGGATGTTATCTACCCGGACTTCAAGAAGACCTTTGACAAGGTGCCGCACAGGAGGCTGCTGAGTAAGATAAGGGCTCACTGTGTTAGAGGCAAGTTACGAGCATGGATAGAAGATTGGCTGTCTGGCAGAAAGCAAAGTGGGGATAAAAGGGTCTTTCTCAGGATGGCAGCTGGCGACAAGTGGTGTTCCATAAGGGTCAGTGTTGGGACCACAACTTTTCACTTTATACATTAATGATCTAGATGAAGTAACTGAGGGCATTCTTGCTAAGTTTGCAGACGATACAAAAATAGGTGGAGGGACAGGTAGTATTGAGGATGTGGAGAGGCTGCAGAAGGATTTGGACAGGTTAGGAGAGTGGGCAAAGAAGTGGCAGATAGAGTGTAACGTGGGAAAGTGTGAGGTCATGCACTTTGGTCAGAAGAATAGAGGTATGAACTGTCTTCTAAATGGGGAGAAAATTCAGAAGTCGGAAGTGCAAAGAGACTTGGGAGTTCTAGTCCAGGATTTTCTCAAGGTAAACTTGCAGGTTGAGTCAGTAGTCAGGAAGGCAAATGCAATGTTGGCATTTACTTTGAGAGGACTTGAATATAAAAACAGGGATGTACTTCCGAGCCTTGATAAGGCTCTGGTCAGGCCACATTTGGAGTATGGTGTACAGTTTTGGGCCCCATATCTCAGGAAGGATGTACTGGCCCTGGAGCGGGTTCAGAGAAGGTTCACGAGAATGGTCCCAGGAATGAAAAGCTTAACATATGAGGAACATTTGAGGAGCCTTGGTCTAATCTTGATGGAGTTTAGAAGGATGAAGGGGGATCTAATTGAAACTTACAGAATACTGAATGGCCTGGACAGAGTGGATATTGGGAAAATGTTTCCATTGGTAGGAGAGACTAGGACCCAAGGGCACAGCCATAGAGTAAAGGGAAGACCTTTTAGAACGGAGATAAGGAGCAACCTCTTCAGCCAGAGAGTGGTGAATCTATGGAATTCACTGCCACAAAGGGCTGTGGAGGCCAAGTCATTGAGTACATTTAAGAAGGATATAGGTAGGTTCTTGATTGTCAAGGGGAAGCAAGGGGTATGGGGAGAAAGCAGGAGAATAGGGTTGAGAAACTTAGGAGCAATGATTGAATGGCGGAGCATACGTGATGGGCTGAATGGCCTCATTTCTGCTCCTATGTCTTATGGCCTTATAATATTGAGCCAGTCGAGGGTGGTAAGTAAACAGCAGCTCCAATCGAAGGAGAAACCCGTCCAGCACGTCCTTGCTGCTGTTGTGACTTCTTCTACACCCTAAAGCCTTCTCTGAGGAGCTTCAAGCGGAACTTCCTCAGAAGAACCAAAAGAACTGTGGATGCTGCAAATCAGGAACAAAAACAGAAGCTGCGGGAAAAGCTCAGCAGGTCTCGCAGCATCTGTGAAGAGAAAATTGGAGTTAACGTTTCGGGTCTGATGACCCCTCTTCAGAACTGCTAAGCTTTTCCAGCAACTTCTGTTTTTGTTTGGATTCATCTTGCCAAGTTACCCTGGATCCCATGAGCTTTTACCTTCTGTGTCAGTTTCCCATGTGGGACCTTGTCAAAGGCCTTGCTGAAATCCATATGCACTATATCAACTGCCCTACCCTCAGGAAGGGTCACCAGACCCGAAACATTAACTGTGATCTTTTTTTCACAGATGGTGCCAGACCTGCTGAGCTTTTCCAGCAACTTCTGTTTTTGTAACTTTCTCATAAACCCTGGCCTGATGAAAGGATGCAACCTTCCCAAACCCAACCAGGTGATAAAATGCTGGTGCAACCAGACAATTTCCTCTCATATGGGACTTAGTTGATGATTTTGATTTTTAGCTGCCTTAAGGTGGTAAGGAAATGATCCATATCCCCGCCTGCTCCTTGTATCATGTCCAGGATGCTTGTCATTATTTTACCAGCACACCATTCCTTCAGGTATTAGGTCTGTTGAAATTCAATCTGTTATCCCAGCTTCTCTCTTCAAGGTTACTGCCCAGTCAGCTGTGTATCTGGTTTTACTTTGGATTTCTGGCATCTGCTGTATTTTGCATTAACAGGCCTTGCAGATGCACCTCAGAAGGCAGTACTGGAATTGTGTGTCGTTCAGAGTGAACCTACCTTCCCTACACTCTCAGAAAGTACATTCCAGACCCTAACCACTCAAGTGAACCTGCCTCCCCCACACTCTCAGACCCTCACTAGTTATGGACATGAGGTGATGGACAAGCTTGAAGAACATAGAACAAGATTTGTGAGAAGAGTAGTTGTGTTGGGTAAGAGAGAAGTATTCAAGAATCACACAGGTTGATGAAGAGAGCGACAGAGGACAGGAGAGAGTGAGATATCAGGAGACAGGGAGAGGACAGACTGGAGAGTGACAGGGAGAGTCAGGGTGGTAACAAAGAGGGAAGACGTGATGTGGATACAAACCGCTGCCCACTCTCATCATTATTGCTGCCGAGGATTATTAACAGCAGCACTCACATTGTTTGGTGAGCAGACTGAGCTCTGTCAGCGCTGCCTGAAGGCTGCCATTATAACATGCATTGTGTCCTTTCCTGACAGGCTCTTTTCGAGATCTTTGTGGGTTATGCTGGATGTTCCATGTCCGTGAGAGGTTGAGTGAGAGCTGTCGCAAGTATCAAAAAGCCAGAGACAATACCAGATCATGCCAGGTACTTCCTCCATCCCTCTGCACAAAACTCTGAGAATAGAAATAATAAACTCAGGACAATGTAGTGATGTTTGCTTTTTAAATGTTGGTTTGTTATGGTGCTGAGTTTTGTCTCAGAGCTGCCCATTAATCCTAGAAACATAGAAATTAGAGCCTGAAGAGGCCATTCAGACCTCTGTGCTGTTCGGTCCCTCAATATGATCATAACTGATTCTGTATCTCAAAGCCACAATTTCCCCCCGTACTACTTCACAATTTTGATGTCTAGAAATCTAGCTGTTTTTTTCTTAAATATATTCAATGACTTCGATTCCATGGTCATGGGTGATAGAGAATTTCACAAGTTTACCACCACCTGTGTGAAGACATTTCACACCAGAGGCGATAACCTAATGGTATTATCACTTAACTGTTAATCCAGAGAGCCGGGTAGTGTTCTAGGTCTCGAATTTGAATTCGTTACAAAAATTCTGCAATTAAGAGTCTATTGATGACCATCAAAGCATTGTTGATTAATGGAAAAACCTATCTGGTGTCCTCACCTGGCCTGGCCTATATAATACTTCAGAACCACAGCAATGTGGGTGACTCTTAATTGCCCTCTGTGCAATGAAGAATGCAGCCCAGCAAAATTCTCCTCATCCCCAGTCTGAGATGGCTCATCACATTATCCTGAGACTGTAGTCCAGCCGGGGAAACGTTGTCCTGCCTTATCAGAATTTCATTCAGTGAAACGCTCAAAGAAGAATGTTTCTCCGTTCACAAACACTGCTAGACCCTGCTCAGTTTCTCCACTCCTTTCTGACTGACAAACTCAGGTTAAAACACTCACCAGGTTTTTGTACTTAACAGAAGATAATTGTTTACGATAAACAATTGGTCTTTTATCTTTGGCACTTAGGAAATATGAATTGCTGACTTATTACACTATATAACATAAACTGAACCCCTTTTAAATTCCCCTTTTGCAAACAGACATACAAAGACAGACATAACAAAGATATTAAATAACAAATAAAAATAAATCAGGGAAACATAGTTCAATAGTACCAAAACAGAAGATGCTGGAGAAGGTGAGCAGATCTGGCAGTATCTGTGGAGAGAAAACAGAATCAAAGTTTCGAGCTCCGTGACCCTTCTTCAGAGGTTATATTGAAGAACTGTTCTTTGCAACCTCACCCCTCGCCTATGGGTTGGTTACTCTAAGGTTAAACCACCACAGTCATCTCTCTCGAATACAAGATCAGCCCTACGGTCATCTGGGAATTTGACGACTTTATCTTAGCTTTGTTTCCTTGCCATTGACACAAAGTTGCATACCAATGCTCTTATTCACTGATTGAGAATTGGTCCTTTCACTGTTTCTAAAGGCATTTATTTCTCCTTGAACAGGGGATTTGTGGTAAAAGGTGTGTAGAAGCCAGCTAGCTATTACTAGGGATTTTTTGGTGCTACCACAGAGGAGAGAGAGAGAGAGGTTTTGTGCTGCTTTTACTTACAAAGCTGTGTTTCCTTGCTGCAATGGCACCACACAAGCCATGGTCACTTGGATAGGAGCCAAGCCAAACATTGCTGTAAAGCAGTTGTTCACCTGAGTTCAGACCCATCAGCTTCATTCTGTCTCACAGAATTGTATAGCACAGAAGATGCCCTTTGACCCACCAAGTCTGTACTGTGAAATGTTCACTACTACCTGCATAAGCCCCACTTTCCTGCTTTAGACTCATAGCCTTGAATGTTATGACATTTAAAGTGCTCATCCAAGTATTTTTTTTAAAGGTTGTAAGGTTTCCCATCTCAACCTTCTTCAGAGGCAGTGCATTCTGCACCCCTTCACTCTGTTGTTGAAAGGGCTTTTCTTCCAATCCCCTCTAAACCTCCTGTTTTTCACTTAAAGATTGTGCCACCTAGTTATTGACCCTGCACTTAAGGGAGCTGCTGCTTTCTATTCACCTTGCCTATGCCTCTCATAATCTTACACAGCTCAATCAGGTCTATGTTTCTATCTCCTTTTACTCTCTCAGTTCTGAAAGAAACACAACATTGTATACACCTCACAGTGTGCTCAAGAAAATGTGACTTTTAAAATATAACTGCATCATCACTTTGCTTAGTCTCCTTGGTTTAAAGCACCATCTTTCTTTTTAAGTCCACAGTCCAAAAATAAAGGAAATAAAAATATGTGAACTTGACAATATCCACAAACATCCACTTCCTCCACCACTGACACTCTGTAGCAGTAGTGTATTATCTACAAGACACACTGCAGAAATTCACCAAAGAGTCTCAGACAGCACCTTCCAAACCAATGACCACTTCCATCTAGGAGGACAAGGACAGCAGATATATGGGAACACCACCCCCTGCAAGTTCCCCTCTAAGGCATACGACATTCTGACTCTAAAGTTTTATTATTGTTACTGGGTCAAAGGTCATAAGAAGTAGGATCAGAAGTAGACCATTTAGCCCATCGGGTCTGCTCCACCTTTCAGTGAGATCACAACTGATCTAATAATCTTCAACTCCTCTTTCCTGCCTTTCCTTTTAACCATTGATTCATTTATGATTAAAAATCTGTTTATCTCGGCCCTAGGTTGTTACAACCTCTCACTGAGTCAGGCATTTAGAAAGTCCATTTCCCTGACATTCACCCTTTCATGTCAACCAGGTTGCCCTGATTGAACCAGATTAACAGCCACAATCAGCTTCACTGTGGACTCCACCCCGCAAATTTGCACAAGACTTCAGCTAGGCTGTACTGGGGAACCTTTACAGCTTTAAGGTACAACCTCTGTTCCAGTCTGTAATGAAAAGCAGCTGGTTTGGTTGCCAGTGATAATAATAAAAGGCTCGGGTCCCAAGCTTGATGGAGAAAACTGGTTGCTAGAGAGTCACCTTGATTGGCTCAACATTTTTCAATTAGAAAATGGCTTCCTGAGTGAAGTCCTAATTAAATACCTGGACGTTTTTCAGGAAGGTCTAGGGACTATCAAAGGAGCCAAGGCCACCTTACAACTTGACCAGGGCACAATTCCACAATTCTTCAAGGCCTGCTCGGTGCCATTTGTCTAACATGCAAAAGTAGAGGCAGAAATCAGAAGTCTGGAAAGTTAATGAATTAATGAAACCAGTCCAATGTGCAGAATACGAAGCCCAATGGGTGTCTGACTGTGGGGATTTTAAACAAACAGTAAACCATTTCTCGAGCTGGGAGAATACCCAACCCCTCGGTTAGAGTATTTGTATACAAAGCTGGCAGGAGGGTTGTCCTTCATGAAGCTTGACATGTGCCATGCTTACTTGCAGTTGCATTTAGACTAGAATTCTCAAAAGTATGTGATACTTAGTATCTATAAGGGCTTGTACCAATATACATTTCATTAACCTATTCAGTATTTCAGTGGATAGTGGAGAACATTTTGCATGATAAGGTTTACCTCAGGTCGCCACTTACTTAGATGACATCCCAATAACAGGAAAAACTAACAAGGAACACTGAGAGAACTTGGATATAGTCCTAAAGCATTTCTTCAAGGCAGGCATACACATGAGAAGGGAAAAATGCGTGTTCCAGGTTCCCCCAAGTGACCTACTTGGGCTACAGAGTCAACAAAGTGGGGATACCTCCATTGGAAGATAAAGTGAGGGCTATCAGAGATGCCCCGGCTCCCATGTCTCTCTAGGAGCTTGGGTCTTTTCTGGATCTGGTAAATTATTACAGAACATTCGTACACAACCTGGCATCCATCCTGGCACCTTTGCTTCAACTCATTAAAAAAAGGGCCAGCCTTGGAAATGGCCGCTTAGACAGGCCTTCGCTTTCTATGAAGTGAAGAAACAGCTGTCATCCTCTGTGTTGGCACACCGTGATCCCAAGAATGATCTGGTATTGACGTGTGATGCCTCCCCATACAGCATCAGGGTGGTATTACCTCATAAGTAGCCCAATGGAGAGGACCGGCCAATAGCTTATGCATCCAGGACTTTGGCTAATTCAGAACATAAATATGCCCAGGTAGAGAAAGAAGAATTGGCGGCCATATTTTGAGTCAGAAAGTTCCACTACTATCTTTCTGGGTGAAAATTTGTGATAATCATGGACCACAAACCTCTGCTTAGTCCGCTTAAAGAGGACAAAGCGGTACCGCCCATAGCTTCAGGCAATATTCGGCGTTGGGCTGTAATATTAAGTGCTTATGATTACAAGTTAGAAACACTGGAACACTGAGTTGTGAATGTGGATGCATTGCACTGCCTTCCATTAGCAAATATACCACCCATGGTACCCCCAGTGGAAGATTTGATTGTGACATTGAGTTTTCTGGACATGGAACCAGTCATAGCTAACAATATCAAACTTTACTCACTGAAAGATCCGGTCTTTTCCAAACTGAAACAATTGGGTATTAATGGGGAAAACCAAAGTGTCATCACAACTAGAATTGAAACAATTTCAGACACGGAGAGACCTGCTCACGGTAAAGGATGGCATATTGTTATGGGGAGTGTGAGTGGTGGTCCCGAGCAAAGTTCACTGTCAAGTCCTGGCTGAACTCCGCCACGGCCATCCAGGTGCCTCCAAAATGAAGATATTAATGAGGAGTAATGTCTGGTGGCCAAGCTTCGAAGTAGACATAGGCGTGTTGGTGGGATAGTGCCCCAGAGTGTCAACAAAGACAAAATTTATCTCCAGCAGCTTCCCCACATCCATGGAAATGACTGGATGAAGCTTGCACTCAGTTATATGTTGACTATGGAGGTCCTTTCATGGGTTCAATGATTTTAGTGATTATGGACGCCCACTCAAAGTGGTTGGATGCGCTAGAGTCCATTTGTCAGACAGTGGAGTGACTATGGAAAAATCGTGCCAACATTTTGTGACACCTGGAGGCATGGAGGTATTGGTCACAGATAACAGGCCATCATTCATCAGCAAGAACTTTAGTTACTTCTTAATCAATGATTCTGTGATTAAAGTTGCATGGGAATTCAACATTCTAGGACATTTCCATCCCACCCATCATCCAATGGCCTGACAGAAAGAACGGTCCAAACTTTGAAGGCTGGATTGAGGAAACAACCTTTCGTGTCACCAGATATTAAGTTATCATGGTTCTTGTTTGATTATAGGACTACCCATATGCAATTACAGGAACAGCACCAACAGAGTTGCTAATGGGAAGAAGACTCCGCACCAGGCTAAGTCGGATCTTCCCAGGCATGGGGAAGGGTGAAACAGCATCAGGAACTCCAGTGCTGAATCCAAGACTCCACCAAGTGAGAGACAGTTTGGTGCAAGGGACAAAGTTCAGTGCAAGGATCATGGAAATGGCCTTGTAAGTCAGAAGGTTGATCAAAATGAGCTCAGGGCCAGTGACTTATAAAATTTGGGTGGGTGTGACTGTTCTGAATAAGCATGTGGGCTGTTTGAAAACTGCAAATTTACAGACTGTGTGGGAGCACAACCTGCCTTCAGAAATGCTTTAGGGACCCATTCGATTCACCTCTCCATCAAACATTGTTGAGTCCTCCAAGTCAGAGATAGACATAATGGAAGTAGCTGCCTCAAAGCTTCTGCCTCTGGAAGAAGGGAATGAAAGTGTAGCAGGGCGCTCCAGGTGCAAGAGGCGAGTTCACATTTGTTACACACCTCCTGTGTTGGATTCCAAGTTGGAAGAACCTGACCTGCTGTTAAAATGCCCCAGTGGACTCCAGAAGAATTGGACTGCCCTGTGTCTGTGGACTCAGAGGGGGAGGGATATAGTGATTGTACTGAGGTCAGCCAGGTGGACATTGTAGAATATGAGTTCACTGTTTGGGGCTGTTAACCTGGTCCAGTCAGGGTGAACTGGCTGAGATACAAGGATGTTGGGACCCTGAATGTCTGACTCAGTGAGAGGCTGTGTTATTGTCGAAGGCTATGCATTTGTAAATAAAGGGTGATTGGTGATGGAATGCTGGCCTCTGAAGAGTTATTTCACTAACAAATTCCACAGATTCTCTACCCTCTGAGAGAAGAAAGTCTTCATCATCTCTGTCTTAAATGTGCAATTCCTTATTCTGAGATTATGCCCTCTGGTGTTAGACTCCCCCACAAGAATAAAAACGTTTCTGTATCTACCCTGTCAAATCCCAACAGAATCTTGCATGTTTCAATGAGTTTGCCTTTCATTCTTCTAAACACCAGTGTGTACAGGCTGACCCTACACAATCTCTCCTCCATACCCAGGCAGCTGACTGAAAATTCTGTGGGCAATCTCCAATGTGAGTAATAGGGCCCAAAACTGTTCACAGTGTTCCAGTTGCAGTCTGACTAGTGCCTTGTATAGTTTTAGCAAAATCTCCCTATGTTTATTCTCCATTCCCTTTGAACAAAGGCCAGCATTCTTTTTGTTTTCCCTTTTATTCACTGAACCTTGGAAGGCAGCTTTTAATAATTTGTGGACAGGGATTCCCAAATCCCTCTGCTCTGTAGCTTGCTACACATTTATCTGTTTAAATGGTGTAGCTGCTGTACTCTCCCTGCCAAAGTACATAACCTCACATTTCCCACTTTATATTCCATCTTCCAGGATTTTACCCACTCACTTAACCTGTCTGTGTCCCACTGCAGACTCTTTGTGTCATCCTTGCCACTTGCCTTCCCACCTATTTTTGTGTCATCTGCAAATCTGGCTATAATGCATGCACTTTCCTCACCCAAGCCATCAATATATGTTATAAGTAAGTGTGGCCTCGGCACTGGTCGCACTGGTCTTGTTGGTACTCCACTCGTTTCAGGTGTCATCCTGAAAATGCCTCCCTTATCTCAACTCCATCTTCTATTTGTTAGCCAATCCTCTATCCATGCTAACATTACATCTAGGGACGGTAAGAGCTGCAGATGCTGGGGTCAGAGTCAACACAGTGTGGAGGCTGGAGGAACACAGCAGGCCAGGCAGCTTCAGAGGAGCAGGAGAGTCGATGTTTCAGTCCTGATGAAGGGTGTAAACCCAAAACGTCGACTTTCCTGCTTCTCTGAAGCTGCCTGATCATGTTCCTCCTAACATCACACCCACTTTTTCCCCGTATCCTGCTTGTTACCACCTCAAAGAATTGTGATTTTTTTATTCTTTCATGAGATACAGATGCCCCTGGCTGCTGCGACATTTATTGCCTGTCCCTAATTGCTGATCTGATAACAGTGCTTCACCCTGATTGGCTGAAGGGAAAGAGAGAGAGATCACAGTCTCCTGATCATAGGGGTTGCCTTGGTCTTGCTCCATTTATCCTGTTCGATGTTTAAGAGAGGAGCTGTTAACTTTGTGACGTGCTGTATTATTATGAAATCAGATGCTTTTTTATAGTGATAATTGAGAATGGTTACATGGTCATTGTTAGACCAGCTTTTTATTCCTGATATTATTGAATTAACATTTCACCATCAGCCATGATGGGCTTTGAACCCATCTTCACAGAGCATTAGCCTGTGGTTCTGGATTACTAGTACAGTGACATCACTGTTACATCACTGCCTCCCTCTGAAACTGCTGAGGCGCATGAAAAAGGGAGGAGAGTGATCAGCTGAGGTAGTGTTCCACTGGGCCTGACAGCAGAAGAGCACAGTGATCTCACCCTGACAGATTCACCTAGCAGACCAACCGGGTCAACAAGTGGCCTCACCATAGATCAATGCGGACTCCCATTCTGGACCCAACAAATCTCTATATATCTTCCAGTCATAATTAATTACAAGATTTCCTTGCCCCAGTCGATCCTTCATTCCTCCAGTCACAACAGATCACCGTGCCAAGTCCAGTGGATCACTCTGTTACCTTTCCCCCAGCCCCATTCAGTCAATCTCCTCCTCCTCCTCCTTCCCCTGCCTTCAGTCTCACTGGATTAATCTCCTTCCCCTTCCCTCAGTCCGACTGGATCAATCTCTTTCTCCTCCCCTCCCCTTCCCTCAGTTCCACTGGATCACTCTCCTCTCCCTTCCCTCAATCTCACTGGATCACTCTCCTCTCCCTTCCCTCAGTCTTACTGGATCACAATCTGCTGCCTGATGGAACCTGCTTGTTGATCTTTCGATGAGCAGTGACCACAGCTGGATTCCTGTTGCTGGGATCTGCTGTTCAGAGATCTGGTTAAGTGCACGTTCATACACCTGTCTCCTAACAGCTGTGTTTATTCTTAGATAAAATGTTTCCATCAGTTCATTATCACTGAGTTCTTCATAGATCACCTTCTCATAGGAATTGGTAACGAATGCTGGGTATGCCAGTAACAATCACATCCCATAATCGAATGAAGGAATAAAGAGGGGTTTCTAATATAAATGGTTAAAATGAGGAGCACTAAAAAGTTGCCTTTATATAAAGTTTTCGAGAAGATTTGTAGCTCAGTTTGTGGATGAGGTTGTAGACTTGCTCGCCGAGCCAATGGGTTTGGTTGCAAGCATTTCATCACTCTGCTAGGTAACATCATCAGTGCGCCTCTGGTGAAGTGTCGGTGTTCTGTCCCGCTTGTTATTTATATGGCTCTGTTTGCTGGGGTGGTTAACATTACTTCCGGTTCTGTTTCTCAGTGGTTTGTATATTGGGTCCAGTTCAATCTGTTTGTTGATGGAGTTCCGGTTGGAATGCCAGGCCTCCAGGAATTCCCTGGCATGTGTCTGTTTGGCTCGTGCTATTATGGATGTGTTGTCCTAGTCAAATTTGTGTCTTTCTTTGTCCGTATGTATTGAGAGCAGTGAGAATTGGTCGTGTCTCTTGGTGGCTAGTTGGTGTTCGTCTATCCCTATTGTCAGTTTTCTTCCAGTTTGGCCTGTGTAATGTTTCTCACAGTCCATGCATAGTATTTTGTATATTACATTAGTTTTTTTGGCTGTGGGTTTGTTAGTAGCTGTTGCAGGGTGGTTGCTGGTTTGTGGGCTACCCTGATACCTAGGGGTCTGAGTAGTCTTATGGTCATCTCTGATATGTCAGACATATCACTGAAGAACAGAACTGGAAGTAATGCCAATCACCCCAGCAAACAGACATATAAATAACAAGCGGGACAGAACACCAATGCTTCACCAGAGGCGAACTGACAATGTTACCTAGCAGTTGATGAAATGTCTGCAATCAAACACACCAGCTCAGCCAGCAAGCCTACAGCCTTACCTTTATATAAGATGGTATGTCTAGTTAAGAGTGGACTGGTTCCTGATGTTATTCACAATGCCTGGGTTTCATGTGTTTGCAGAACTATGAGGTAACAACAGATTATGACGCTGCTGTGCTTGACCATTGTCTGAATTCCCTGAACTGGGCCTGTCGAATGCTACCCTTCGCTAGGTTCATGAATGTGGAGGAGCTGGTACAGGACATCATCCTCAGCTTGGTTAGTGAGCTGCCTCCAATCAGAAAGGTAGGAACACGCATCTGAAAAAAATGTGCTAATGTTACAGTAGATAACAGGAAATGAAGGGAAGATGCTGGGGAGAGAGCAGAGACCAGGACACTACTGCAGAACATAACCATTGGTGCATAATGATCGACAGATTACTATTGCTGAATCTACATTCGGCGTCTTTATCATTGATCAGAAATTGAACTGGACCATCCAAATAAATACAGGGCAGAAGCTGAGAGTTATTAGTCAAGTCGCTCACCATTGTTCATTTATGTGATGTGGGTGTCACTGGTTAGACCAGTATTTATTGCCCATCCCTCATTGCCCAGAGGCCAATTAAGAGACAAGCACATTGCTGTGGTCTGGAGTCACATGTAGGCCAGACCAGGTAAGGATAACAGTTTCCCTCCCTACAGGACATTGGTAATCAGATGAGTTTTAACGACAATCAACAGTGATTACATAGTGACCATTAGGCCACTGTTTTATCCCAGATTTTATTGAATTCAGATTTCAGCACCTGTCATGATAGGATTTGAACCCATATCCCCAGAGCATTAGCTTGGTGGTTCTGGATTACTGGTTCAGTGACATTATCTTAATGCCACCACGTCCCCAAAGCCTGTCTGCCATCTGCAAGGCATAAGTCAGGAGTGTGATGCAATACCCACCACTTGCCAGGAAGGTGCAGTTCCAGAACACAAAATAAAAATTGATTGGTATCCCTTCCATTACCTTAAATTTCATTCATTCTGCCACCAACATTTAGTAATAACAATGTGTACCATCTCCAAGATGCACAACAGAAATTCACCGAGGGTCTTCTGATAGCATCTTCTAAACTGATAACCACTTCCCTCTAGAAGGACAAGAGCTGTAAACACCACCCCCTGTATATTTCCCTCCAAGCCACTCACCACCCTGACTTGGAAATGTATTCCTTCACTGTCACTAGGTCAAAAGCCTGGAATTCTCTCCCCAAGGACATTGTGGGTTGACATACAGCACATGGACTGCAGCGGTTCAGGAAGGAGCTCACCACCACCTTCTCACGGGGCAACTAGGGATGGGGCAATAAATGCTGGGCCCAGCCAGTGACACCCACATCCCAAGAAATAATGGAATAAACATGGTGGTGGTGGAGTGCACGGGAATGATTGTGAGCTGTATTATTATGGATGTTTTGCAGCATGCTCTGTTCTGGCTGACTTATACAGCGGTGTACCCTGTTTTTTTGTAGGTTGCTGAGATCCTGGTCAGGGCCTTTCCTGATGTGGAAGACATTCGAGTGCCTCTCAGGGATAAATATCACTCATTGCAGCATCACCTACGTCACAGCACAGTGCAAGGTGAGAAAGTGCAGCCTGGGTAATCCAGCCTCCACTGCTGTCATTACCTTATGCACATACAAGTGGCGCAAATCCTCCTTTGGAATGGTTGATGGGGTCTAATGAGTCTCCTGACAGTGGTAGAGGTCCAGGCTGGGCGGGACTTGAACGCAGATCTTCTGACCCAAAGGTATGGACACTACCACGACACCGCAAGAGTCCTAGATAACGGAGCAATGAAAATCCGAAATAGACAGAAGGCTAGAAACAAAGCAACAAAGTAGGCAGAGAATTTTATTGATGAGAAGATTTTTGAGATAGTGACAGGAAGCCATGGAAGAGTTTGACAACTGAGAGAGAATTCCAAATGTTACAGTTCTTTTTGCAAATTTATATAATGATTAGCACAGCTTCTACAGACTAGTTAATTGAACGAAGGTGGGTGGGAAAGCATTAAGAAATGATCATTTAGGACAAAATTAACAATCATTTGGGCAAATACAGATTAGTTAAGTAAGCCAGCAGAGACCTGTTATAGCAAATCAAGATTAACTTAACAAATGGCAGTTATGACTCAGTTGCCTCTGAAAGACACAGTTCCAGGTTCAAGTTTCACACCAGAGCTTGAGATCAAAAATCTGAGTTGACATTTCATCGAGTCATTGAGATCGACAATACATACAAAGACCTTTTGGCCCAAGCACCTACCATTCAAATCGCATTGTCCAGCACCTGGCCTACCCATAGCTTTGACTTCTTCAATGTGATGAGGGTTTCCGCCTTGACCACCCTTGCAGGCTGTGAGTTCCAGATTCCCACCAGCCTCTGGTAAAACCATTTTTCCTTACATCGCTATAAACCCCCTACACCTTGCCTTAAATACATGCCCCCAGTCATTGATCCCTCCACTAAGTGGAAAGGTTCCTTACTGTCTATCCTACCAATGACCCTCATAACTTTATACATCTCAATCATGTACACCCTCAGTCTTCTCTGTTCTGAAGAAAACAACCGCAGTCAGTCCAGTCTGTCTTCATCAGGAAGACTCTCCAGCCCATACAACCTCCTGGTGAATCTCCCTCTGCACCCCCTCCAGTGCAATCACATCCTTCCTATAGTGCGGTGACCAGAACTGTACACAGTACTCCAGCTGGAGCCTGACCAAAATCCTGTACAGCTCCAACATAACCTCCCTGCTCTTACTTTTATCAGTCATTGCATAAATTATAAGTGTCCCTATGCCATTTTAACTACCCTATTAACCTGCCACCTTGAGGAATCAGTGGACAAACACCCCAAGATCCCTCTGTTCCTTTGAGCTTCCAAATATCCTGCCATTCATTGACCGTTCCTTCTTCCAAAGTGTATCACCTCACATTTATCAGTGTTTGATTCTGCCCATCTGACCAATGCATTTATATCCTCCTGTAATCTAACACCTTCCTCCTCACTGCCAACACCCAATCAATCTTTGTGTCATCCACAAACTTACTTACCATTTCTCCCACATTCCCATCTCCATTGTTTATGAATATCACAAACAGTAAGGGACCCAGCACTGATCCCTGTGGTATACCACTGCACACCGTGCTCCAATAACACAACAGCCTCCTACCACCACCCTCTGTCCCCAGTAACTAAGCCAGCTTTGGATCCAATTTCCCAAGTTACCCTGGATCCCATGAGCTACTACCTTCTGTATCAGTTTCCCATGTGGGACCTTGTTAAAGGCTCTACTGAAATCATATAAACTACATCAACTGCCCTATCCTCACCTACACACTTGGTCACCTCCTCGAAAAATTCAACAGATTTGTCAGGCATGACAAAGTCATGCTGGGACTATCCCTGTTCAAACCTTGCCTCTTCAATTGGAAATTAACTCTCTGTTTCAGAATTTTCTCCAGTTCTCCTAACACTGATGCTAGACTAACTGTTCTGTAATTCCCTGGTTTATCTTAATCACATTTCTTTTAAACTGGAATCGCATTAGCTGTCCTCCAATCTTCTGGCACCTCCCTTATGGCAAGACAGAAATTAAAAATTTGGGTCCGAGCCCCTGTGATTTCCTCCCTCATCTCCCACAGCAGCTTGGGATACAACTCATCCAGACCTGAGGATCTATCCACCTTTAAATCTGACAAAACATCCAAGACAATAAAACCATAAGACATAGGAGTCGAATTAGGCCATTTGGCCCCCCAAGTCTGCTCTATCGTTTGATCATGGCCGATATGTATCTCAACCCCATTCTCCTGCCTTCACGCTTTAACCCTTTATCTGCTTACAAATCAAGAACTCGAATTCCCTCCTGGTAAACAATGGTCCGTTATCTGTCACCAACATTTCCAGGAGTCACTGTATTGCAAAAGATGTGCATAGTTTCTCTATCATCATCCCTGTGTTTGACGATTGAACTCTATGCACATCCAACCACTTTGAGTGAGCATGTCCAACCACAACAACTAAGAATGTTGAGGCCATGAAAGAGCTGCATAGTCGATGTGTAACTGAGTCCAGGGTTTACCTGGCCATTGCCATGAATGTGGCGGAAGCTGCTGGCAGTAAATTTTGTCCTTGTTGGCAGTTAGTGTCCTTTTGATAGAGAAACAGAAGGCTGGAAGAACACAGAGAGCCAGGCAGCGTCTGGAGGAAGGGAGCAGTCAACGTTTTGGGTACTACTCTTGTTGACTGAAGAATGGTAACACCCGAAACATTGATTGCTCCTTTCCTCCAGATGTTGCCCGGCTTGCTGTGTTCCCACCCTCCAGTTTGTCTACCTGGATTCCAGCATCTGCAGTGTTTTTGTCTCTAACCAAGTACCCTCTGGGCACTGCCCCACCAATGTGGCTGTGTTGGCGTCCAATCCAATAATTTCTCACCAAAGCTTCAGCACCCCGAAATGATGCTGGTGAAGTTCAGCCAGTTTGACGGAACCTTTGCTCAGGACAATCACTGTTGCTCCCCATAATATTATGCCATCCTGCACTGTGATCTGGTATCGCTGGGTACAGAAAGGTTTCAATTCTGATTGTGATGGCCTCCTGGATAGTGCTCCAATTTGCAATTTTATGCACTTAGAATGAGAGCTCACCACTGAATTCAACCTGAAGTTATGGGCGGCATGGCTTTCTCCTCTTTGAGTAACCTTAGCAGAGGTTTGTGTGCTGTTACTATTACAAATTTACATCAGTAAAGGTATTGGTGGAACTTTCTCAGATCAAAGATGACCACCGAACCTTCCTTCTCTATCTGGGCGCTCTGCATCAGCCAAAGTCCAGGAAGTGCCTGCTACTGGCCATTGCTTTGGACTATCTATGAGCCAACGCTACCCTGATACTGTATGGGGAGGCATCACATTGTCAGCACCAGATCTTGCTTGGGATCATAGCGTGCCAACACCTTAGCTGATGATAGCTGCTTCTTCGCTTCCCTAAAGGCTATGTCTTGGGTATTAGACCATTTCCCAGGCTGACCCCTCTTCAGTAGTAGATGTAGGGGGTGCCAGGATGGAGGCCAGGTTACGTATGAACTTTTTGTAATAATTCACTAATCGAAGGGAAGACCTAACCCCAGATACAGACATGGGAGCCGGGGCACCTTTGATCACCCTCACTTTATCTTCCAATGGGTGTAACCTGGTCTTATTGACTCTGTAGCCCAAGTAGGTCATTTTTCTGTCCTAAGGCATACACCTGTCTTGGAGAAATATCTAAGGACTGTGTCCAAATTCTCTAAGTGCCTTTATTGGTCTTACCTGTTATGAGCATGTCAGCCAGATAAATGGTGACCTGGGACAGACCTTGTAAAATGTTCTCATCGAAAAATGGCGCAGGCTGATGATACCCCAGATAGCATTCTCGTATATTGGTACAAACCCTTATGGGTATTAATTGTTGCATACTTCTGGGAATACAGTACAGCACAGGAACAGGCCCTTTGGCCCTCCAAGCCTGCGCTGACACATTTTGCCCTTCCATACTAAAACTGTCTTCACTTACAGGATCCATATCCCTCTATTCCCTTCCTATTCATGTATTCGTCCAGGTGCTTCTTGATTGCTGCTATTGTGTCTGCTTTCACCACCTCCTCTGGCTGTGCATTCCAGGCACTCACCATCTTTTGTGTGAAAAACGTGTCTCACACATCTCTTTTAAACTTCCCCCTTCGCACCTTGAACCTGCGGCCCATAGAAATTGGCCCCTCCACCCAACCACCCTTCATCTAACTGCAATTGCAGGTGCACTTCATGAAGGACAGCACCCAATGAATCCCCACAGTGTGGAAACAGGCCATTTGGCCCATTAAGTCCACACTGACCTTTCAAAGACCATCACACCCAGACCCATCCCCGTACCCTATCCCTGTAACCCTGTATTTCCCATGGCTAATGTACCTAACCTACAAATCCCTAGACACTGTGTGTGTGTTTAGCACGGCCAATCCACCTAGCCTGCACATCTTTGGACTGTGGGAGGAAACTGGAGCACCCGGAGGAAACCCACACAGACACAGGGAGAACATGCAACCTCCACAAAGACAGTTGCCCAATTGAACCTGGATCCCTGGTACTGTGAGGTAGCAGTGCCAACCACTGAGCCACCGTGCCTCCCCCAGCCAGCTTTGCATATAAATCCCCTACGTGAGGCATTAAGCATTTATGCAGCTGCGAGAAGCAGTTTATCCTTTGTTAAAGCCCCCACAAAGACGCACTGACCCACTGGCCTTCACAATCGGTGCGACTGGTGCTGCCCATTTTGCAAACTGTGTTGGTTTGATGATTCCTTCGCTTTCCAGCCTCCTGATTTCTGCCTCTACTTTTGCCTGTAAGGCACAGGGTGGACCTTGCGTTCTGAGGAAGGGTCACTGGACTCAAACGTTAACTCTGTTTTTTTCTTCACAGATGCTGCCAGACCTGCTGAGCTTTTCCAGCAACTTTGTTTTTATTCCTGATTTACAGCATCCGCAATTCTTTTGGTTTTTATTCTATGACGTCCACCTTGTTACAATCACCACAGTTACTAATTTGCTTCTATTATAGGTTACTGTCAGATTGAGGATATATAGGGGAAATATTTGCAGGCTACAAACTAAAAGACTAGTACAATTTAAAAAAAAATCAAATTAAGAACTAAGTAAATAAAGTAGAGATGCAGGGCCAGGTGATATGTTGTACCTGCATGATGTGGAAGCTGGTTGAGCCCATTGTGGTTCAGAGTGACCACATCTGTAGCAAGGAGAGTTACTTAATGCTGGGTTTCAGGAGACAGTCACATCCCTTAGATTAACAACCTTGAATTAGGTAAGTGGTCTGGAACAGGAGAGTGTGGCTACAAGTGATACAGGTAAAGGGCCCAAGACATCGTGCTGAAGGAGCCTCAGCCCTGGAGCTTGTCTAACAGGTTTGAGATTCTTGCTCCCCATGTGGATGGGTGTGGGGTCTGTAGGGAGGATGAACAAACTGACCATAGCACTGCAGTACAGGGAGTAATTCAAGAGCGGCAGAAAAGAGAAATGTAACTTCAATCAGGGATAATATAGTCAGGGGAATAGACACTGTTCCCTGTGGCCAGGAGCGAGAGCCCCAAAGGCTGTGTTGCCTGCCTGGTGCCCGGGGTCAGGATATCTCACCTGCAGAGGAACTTGGAATGGGACGGGAAAGATCTGGTTGTTGTGGTCCACATAGGTACCAATGGTAGGGAGAGAAACAGATTTTGATGAGGAACTATGAGCAATCAGGAACTAAATTAAAAAGCACAACCAATGGGTAATAACTTCTGGATTACTACCTGAGCTATGAGCTAATTGGCACGGCTCAATGTGAGTAAAGAGGTAAACGTATGGTTCAGAGATTGGGTGTGGGAGAAATGGGATTGAATTCATGGGACATTATTATCTTTAGATACCCCCACACTGAATTGTCTACTATTTCTCCCTGACTGTTTGGCAGTCTGTAATACACTCCCAGGAATGTGACCACCCCCTTTTTATTCTTAAGCTCTCCCCAGAAAAGCAACATTTGAAGACCTACTGGTATTGTCGCTGTACTATTAATTCAGAGACCCAGGTAATGGGTCTCCAAGGAACACGGATTTGAACCCTGCCATGGTAGTTAGTGGAATTTAAGTTCAATAAAAATCTGAAATGAAAAATCTAATGATGACTATGAAACTATTGTCGATTGTTGGGAAAAGCCCATCTGGTTCACTATATCCTTTAGGGAAGGAAACTGCCATCCTTACTTGGTCTGGCCTACCTGTGACTCCAGACCAGGTAATGTGGTTGACTGTTACTTGGGTTCTGGGAAATTAAGGATGGGCAATAAATGCTGGCCTGGCCAGTGATGACATCATCCTGCGAATGAATAAAAAAACTGTCCCTCCTCACTGCAGTTATTCCTTTAATGAATAATGTGACACCACCTCTTTAACACCCTTCCCAAGATCCTTTACCATGGAATGATGAGTTGCTAGTCCTGGCCCCAGTATACCCTCTATCTGCCTCCTCCTCCTCCCTGCTGACGCTGCCTCTGATCCTAGGCCTCAGTGTCCCCTCGAACCACCTCCTTTCTCCTTGTTGCGTTGATGCTGAAATGCAGAGCAAGTTGGAAATGCCACCCTTGAGGATGAGACATTAAACTGAGGCCTGTTTGCCAGCTCAGGTGAATGTAAAGTTTCCATGGCATCACTTCAGGGAAAAGCCTGGTATTATCCAGAGACGAGTGGCTTATCTTTTGAAGAGAGGTAGAGCAGTATAAGTGTATGTTGTTTGGAGTTTAGAAGAGTGAGTGGACATCTAATTGAGGTACTTAAGATGCTGAAGAGGATTGGAAAATTAGATATGGAGAGGATGTGTCCTCATGTGGGGTAATCTTGATCAAGAGGTCATTGTTTTAGGCTAATGGGTAGCAGATTTAAAACAGAGATGAGTAGTGATCTCAGTCTGGGTGGGATGCTTTTCAGAGAGTCAGTTCATACTCGATGGGCCGAATGGCCTGCTTCTGTACTGTAGGGATTCTATGAATCTATGAGTAGGTCATTTAGCTTCTCGATCTTGCTGTGCCATTATATTTACCCCTCATGGCTGATCTGATTGTGAACTTCACATTCTTGAGCCCCTTGGATAACCTCTCGCTAACTTGCCAGTCAAGAATCTATCTACCTTTGTCTTCAAAATAATCAGCAATTCTTCCTCCATCACTCTGAGGAAGAGTGCTGTAAAAACTTATTCCAAAGAGAAACTTCATCCTTATCTGTATCGGAAATGGAAGGGCCCTCATTTTTAAACTTGTCCCCCCACTCAGGAGTCAGAGGGGAAAGGGAAACATTCCTTCAGCATCCAGCCTGCTAAGTCCCCACAGAATGTTATATGTTTCTTCTACATCTTATTGGATATAGGCCAATCTGTCCAAGTTTTCCTCATAGGATAACAGCCTGCCCCCATCCCAATGCTGGAATCAATCATGTGAACCTTCTCTGAAATAATCATCGACAATCATACAGCATGAAAACAGGTCCTTCAGCCCACCAAGTCTGTGCAAACCAACAAACACCAAACTACACTATTCCCATTTACCTGTACTTGGTCCATCACCGACTGTGCCCCAGCATTGTAAGTACTTGCCTCCACCACCCTCTCAGGCAGTGCATTCCATATTTCCACCACACTCTGGGTGTAAATTTTTTTTCTTAAATCTCCTCTAAACCACTAACTACTCACCTTATCTATGCCCTCTGGTCTTTGACATATCTGTCATGGGCAAGATATTCTCACGACCTACTCTGTCTATGCCTGTCATAATTTTGTATACCTCAATTAGATCCCCCCCTCAACATCCACAGCTCCAAGGAAAACAAGCCCACCCTATCCAGTCACCCTTCATACTGAGACTTTTCATCCCAGGCAACATCCTGGTGAATCTCCTCTGCACCCTCTCCAGTGTAATCACGCGTGGTGACCATACCTGCACACAGTATTCCATCTGTGGCCTAACCAATGTTTTATAAAGTTGTAATAAGACTTCCCTGCTCCCAGATTCTGCTCCCCAGATAATGAAGGCAAGCATCCTGTATACCTTCTTTACTAACCTGTCTACCTGTGCTGACTTCTTCAGGGATCCATAGACTTTGTACGTCAAGGTCCCTTTGTTCCTCAGTACTCCCTAGGGACTTGCCATTTATCCTTCCCATATTAGACCTCCCACAATATATCACCTCATATGGGATTAAATTCATCTGCTGTTGCTGTGCCCAATTTACCAGCTGATCAATCAAAAACAATGGACTGTTTTAAAGGGAAGGGTGTGGCAGTGGGATAAGCTGAGTTGTTCTTGTAAAGAGCCAGCATAGACATGATGGGCTGAACATGGGTATAATTATTCTACATGGCTGTACATTGAGAGATTGGCTCCCAAACGAGCAATGTCGGTCAGTGAGTGTAGGAGGGATGGGGTAACAGGATTTGCTGTGAGTTAGGAATTGAGCAGCCATTCTGTTTACACAGCATGAAAGATGGAAGGCCAACCAGGGAGTGTTGGAATGATCATGTAGAGGTAGTAAAGACAGGGTTAGGGCTTCAGCAAGAAATGAGCTGAGGCAAGGCTGGAGTTCGGTGATGTTAGAGAGGTTGAAGTAGTCAGTCTCAGTGAATTTTGAAACCTCTTGTTTCTCAGGCCTTGATGGAGATGAGATGATGTCGGTCCTGCTGCACGAGCTTCATGGACAAAGGATGAAAGTGATGAAGTGGGCAGTGCAGACTATTGGTCCTACTGAACAGCACATTTGGGAACGAACTGATGAGGGCTTGGGGGACCAAGAGGACCAGATGTATGATCGGTTCTCCTTGGGAACAAGTCTGAGCAGAAGTTCTTTGACAGACACCAGAAGAAGCCAAAATGAGGGAGATGGGAACACAACAGACAATATCTCAGAGGATCTCCAGGATCTGAGTGAACGCCAGGATAGAATCCAGCAATTACTGGGAACTGGTGACAGGTACTACACATGGGGCAGATGAATTGTGTGTTTGTATGTGTATCTCTCTCTCTCTCTCTGTCTCTCTGTCTCTCTCGCTCTTTGTGTATGGATGCCTCTGGGTAGTGGACAGTGTTGGTGTCTCTGTGAGAGTGTCTCTCAGAGGGAGTGTGTGTGTCTCTGTGTGGGGGACTATCTTTGTGTGGAATTGTTTGTGTCCCTCTGTGTGGGGGTATGTGTCTGTGTGGGGGTGTCAGCATGGGGTGTGTTTCTGTGGGGGTGTGTCTCTCTGGAGGTGTGCCTCTGTGTGACAGGGTGTCTCTGTGTGGAGGGTGTCTCTGTTTGGGGGTGTCTATGTGAGACTGTGTCCATGTATGGGGGGGTGTCTCTGTGTGGGGAAGTGTCTTTGTGTGTAGGAGTGTGTCTCTGTGTGGGGGGGTGTCTGTGCATGTGGAGAGGATGTCTCTATGTTGGGGGGTGTCTCTGTGTGGGGAGATATCTGTGTGGATTTGAGGTATGGAGTAAGAAGGGAAATCAGAGAAACTTGTCCATTTGAAGGCTAATTGTAGTTATAGAATAAATTACCAACAGAATAAGGATTACAGTTAGCTGTGGAGAAGGTGAGATTGAGAAAAGCAGGAGGAGGGTGGGGTTGAGGGGAATGGACAAACGATGAATAGGTGTTTGCATACAGAGAGTGGAGTCTCAAGTAGATTATCAAACCTGTGATACAGAGGTTGGTCTGTTCAGCTGCAAGTAACATTTGTGCCACACAAATGCCAGGCAATGATCATCTCCAATAAGAGAGTATCTAACCATTGCCCCTTTATATTCAGTGGCATTCCCATTGTTAAATCCCCACTGTCAACACCAGAAACTGAACTGAATCAGTCACATCAGCACCGTGTTTTCTGGACCGATGTCTATAAAGCAAATGAACCTCTTCATATGTGTCATTATATACCTCCAGGGCAGGTGGGACTGTAACCCCCACCTTCTGGTTCAGAGGTAGGGACACTCACTGTGTCGCAAGAATAAGCCCCAGTGAATTTCTAATCCATCACCTTAATCACTCAGCTACAGCTACAGCGAAATGTTAACAATGGTGGGGTTCAAACCCACGCCTGCAAAACTAGGAATCTGAGGTGCAACCTAATAGAAGTCTATAAAATCATGTGCGGCATAGAGAAGGTAGCAAGCAACAGCTTTAATCTGCACATAGACTGGGCAAATCAAATCAGCCACAATGCTGTAGAGGAGGAATTCCTGGAGTATATATGGGATGGTTTTCTTGACCAATATGTAGAGGAACCAACTAGAGAACAGGCCATCTTAGACTTGGTACTGTGTAATGAGAAGGGAATCATTGCCACCCTAGCTGTGCAAGACCCCTTGGGGAAGAGCAAGCATATCATGATAGAATTTTTTATTAAGATGGAGAGTGAGGTAATTGATTCGGAGACTAGGGTGCTGAATCTTAATAAAGGAAACTATGAAGATATGAGGCATGAGTCGGCCTTTGTAGACTGGGAAGAGTTACTTAAAATGATGGCAGTGGATAGGCAATGGCAAACATTCAAAGAACGCATGGGGGAACTGTAACAACTGTTTATTCCTGCCTGTGGCAAAAGCAAAATGGGTCAGAGGGCCAATCCATGGCTTACAAAGGAAATTAGAGAGAGTATCCCGATCCAAGGAAAAAGCATACACTTGCAGGGAACATAAAGACTGACACTAAGAGTTTCTATAGGTACGTGAAGAGAAAGTGATTGGTAAAGACAGATGTAGGTCCCCTGCAGACAGAAACAGCGGAATGTATAATAGGGAACAAAGGAATGGCTGACCAACTGAATACATACTTTGGTTCTGTCTCCACAAGAGGAGACAAATCAAATACTAGAAATGTTGGAGGATGCAAGATTTAGTGAGAGGGAAGAATTGGGGGAGATCAATATTAGTACAGAAATAGGGCTGGGAAAATTGTTGGGATTGAAGGCAGGTAAATCCCCAGGGCCTGATAATCTACTTCCCATAGTATTTAAGGAAGTAGCTCCAGAAATAGTGGATGCATTGGTGGTCATCTTCCAAGATTCTATAGTCTTTGGAACAGTCCCTGCAGATTGGAGGATGGCTAATGTCACTCTAGAGAGAAAACAGGGAATTATAGAGCAGTGAGCCTAACACTTGTAGCGGGGAAAATTCTCCAATCCGTTGTCAAGGTCTTTATAGTGGAGCGTTTAGAAAGCAGCAGCAGGATCAGACAGAGTCAGCATGGATTTATGAAGGGGAAATCATGCTTACAAACCTGTTGGAATCCTATGAAGATGTAACTAGTAGAGTTGACAAAGGGGGCCAGTCGATGTTGTATATTTGGACTTTGAGAAAGCGTTTGACAAAGTCCCATATAAGAGATTAATGTGCAAGATTAAAGCACATGGAATTGGGGGAATTGTATTGAGATGGATGGCAGAGAGGAAACAAAGAGTAGGAATTAATGGGTCCTTTACAAATTAGCTGGCAGGAATTAGTGGGGTCCCACAGGGATCGGTGCTGGGACCCCAGCTATTCACAATATATATTAAGGATTTGGATGAGGGAACAAAATGTAACATCTCCAAGTTTGCAGATGATACCGAGTTGGGTGGGAGGGTGACCTGTGACGAGGATGCAGAGATCCTTCAGCATGATCTGGACATATTGGGTGAGCGGGCAAATCAATGGCAGGTGCAGTATAATTTGGATAAATGTGAGGTTATTCACTTCGGAAGCAAAAACAAAAAGGCAGATTACTACCTGAATGGCTGTAAATTGGGAGAAGGGAGTGTGCAGTGGGACCTGGATGTCCTTGTGCACCAGTTGCTGAAGGTAAGCATGCAGGTGCAGCAGGTGGTGAAGAAGGTAAATGGGATGTTCTATTTTTTTTTGTTTTTTATTTTAGAACTAGGAGCAGGAGTGGGCCGTCCGGCCCTTCGAGCCTGCTCCGCCATTCAGTAAGATCATGGCTGATCTTTTCGTGGACTCAGATCCGCTTACCTGCGTTCTCACCGTATCCCTTAATTCCTTTATTGTTCAAAAAAAATCTACCTTATCTTTAAAATCGTTTACTGAAGTAGCGTCAACTACTTCACTGGGCAAGGAATTCCATAGATTAACAACCTTCTGGGTGAAGAAGTTCCTTCTCAATTCAGCCCTAAATCTGCTCCCTCTAATCTTGAGGCTATGCCCTCTTGTCCTAGCTTCACCTGCCAGTGGAAACATCCTCTCTACTTCTATCTTATCTATTCCCTTCATAATTTTATATGTTTCTATAAGATCCCCCCTCAATCTTCTAAATTCCAATGAATATAATCCCAATCTACTCAGTCTCTCCTCATAAACCAACCCCCTCAACTCCGGAATCAACCTAGTGAACCTCCTTTGCACCCCCTCCAGTGCCAGTACATCCTATCTCAAGTAAGGAGACCAAAACTGCACACAGTACTCCAGGTGTGGCCTCACCAGCACCTTGTACAGCTGCAACATAACCTCTCTGCTTTTAATCTCAATCCCTTTAGCAATGAAGGACAAAATTCCATTTACCTTCCTAATTACTTGTTGTACCTGCAGACCTACCTTCTGTGATACATGCACAAGGACACCCAGGTCCCTCTGCATAGCAGCATGCTGCAACTTTTTACCATTCAAGTAATAATCCTTTTTACTATTACTCCTACCAAAATGTATGACTTCACATTTATTTACATTGTATTCCATCTGCCAGACCTTTGCCCACTCACTCAATGTATCTATGTTCCTCTGCAAAGCTTCACAGTCCTCTGCACACTTTGCTCTGCCACTCATCTTAGTGTCATCTGCAAACTTTGACATCCTACACGTGGTCCCCAACTCCAAATCATCTATATAAATTGTAAATAACCGGTCTATAATTCCCCATCTTTTGTCTACTTCCCTTTTTAAACAGTGGCGTCACATTTGCTGTTTTCCAATCTGCTGGGACTGCCCCAGAGTCCAGCGAATTTTGGAAAATTACCACCAGTGCACCTGCTATTTCTCCCGCCATCTCTTTTAGTACCCTGGGATGCATTCCATCAGGGCCAGGAGACTTATCAATCCTTAGCTCCATTAGCTTGCCCAACGCTACCTCTTCCGTAATAATGATTGTTTCCAGGTGCTCACCTACCTTCAGCTCTTCGTCAATTACTGGCATGTTATTAGTGTCCTCCACTGTGAAGACCGATACAAAATACCAGTTCAATGCCTCGGCCATTTCATCATATCCCATAACTAAATTCCCCTTCTCATCCTCTAAAGGGCCAACATTTACTTTAGCCACTCTTTTTCGTTTTATATATTTATAGAAACTTTTGCTACCTGTCTCTATATTCTGTGCTAGTTTTTTCTCATGTTCTATCTTACTTTTCTTTAAAAGGCCTTCATTGTGAGAGGTTTTGAGTACAGGAGCAGGGATGTGTTGTTGCAGTTATACAGGGTCTTGGTGAGGTCACACCTGGAATAATGTGTGCAGTTCTGGTCTCCTTTTCTGAGAAAGGATGTTCTTATTCTAGATGGAGTGCAGCGAAGGTTTACCAGGCTGATTCCGGGGATGGTGGGTCTGACATATGAGGAGAGATTGACTAAGTTGGGACTGTTTTTGCCAAGGTTCAGACAAATGAGGGGGGATCTCATAGAGACTTATAAAATTCTAACAGGACTGCACAGGGTAGATGCAGGGAGGATGTTCCCGATGGTGGGTGTGCCCAGAACCAGGGGTCACAGTCTGAGGATTCGGGGTAGACCATTTAGGAAGGAGATGAGGAGACATTTCTTCACCCAAAGAGTGGTGAGCCTGTGGAATTCATTACCACAGGAAGCAGTTGATTCCAAAACAGTGAATGTAATCAAGAGGTGACTAGATATAGCACTTGGGGGCGAATGGGATCAAAGGTTATGGGGAGAAAGCAGGATTAGGCTATTGGGTTGGACAACCAGCCATGATCATGATGAATGGTGGAGCAGGCACAAAGGGCTGAATGGCCTCCTCCTCCTCCTACTATCTTCTGTGTTTCTCTGTTTTCCCTGTGGTAGGGGAGTCTAAAATAATTGAGCATAGTTTTAAGGTGAGAGGGAAAAGATACAAAAGGGTCCAAAAGGGCAATTCTTTTACACACAGAGGGTGGTGAGTGTCTGGAACGGGCTGCCAGAGGCTGTGGTGGAAGCGAGTACAGTTTCATCATTTCAGAAACATTTAGACAGGAATATGGATGGGATAGGTATGGAGGGATATGGACCAAATTCAGGCAAATGGGAGCAGTTTAAATTGTGAAAATTGGGTGGGATGGGCAAGTTGGGCTGAAGGGCCTGTTTTGATGCTGTAGACCTCTATGACTCTATAACAGAGGCTCCCGGTGCACCACTTTAAAGCACTCAGCCACACTAGTTAATGACGAGAACTTGGCTCTTGACATTTTTAATCAACTTGTTCACAAGTGTTATGATGCACTGGAGCAAGTGGGATTAAATTTGGGACTTTTTGGCTCAAGGGAAGGGACACTACCACTGCATACAATAGCCCTAAGAACTCAGGGTTTGGGCTTTTTCTTCTGCTCACACAGAGTGAGGTGGATGCAGTAACTGCTTATTAGGGTGGCACGGTGGCTCAGTGGTTAGCACTGCAACCTCACAGTCCTAGGGACCTGGGTTCAATTCCACCCTCGGGCGACTGTCTGTGTGGAGTTCACACATTCTCCCCGTGTCTGTGTGGGTTTCCTCCGCATACTCTGGTTTCTTCCCACAGTCCAAAGATGTGCAGGCTAGGTGGATTGGCCATGCTAAATTGCCTGTAGTGTTCAGGGTTGTGTAGATTAGGTGGGATGCTCTGAGGGTCAGTAGGGACTTGTTGGGCCGAAGGGCCTGTTTCCACACTGTGGGGATTCTGCGTTTGTTCCTAAAGCTGGATTGGTTTTGCAAAAGTTTGCTGACCTGTCAGCAAAGACTGTAACTTAAGATGTGCCACTCCCCACCGAACATGTCTCCCGAGGACATGCACATTGTTGCATCTATTCACAGGTCCCATCCCACTACTGAGCAGGGACTTTGACCTGCTTCATTTCCAGAGAGCTCAGCTCTTTTCCTTGTCAGCAGTACTTTTACTTAATGTTTGATTATATCATCATTGTGTGGTACAAGATTGATTTGGGTACACAGCTGCTGTGTAATGTGAGAGAACCATGATAATGCCTAAAGCTGAAACTGGCAGAAATGGAATCGACAGTGCAACTATTTATAACCAACCAAAACATGAGAATTAAAATACAAAATACAAAAGTTTAATGAGCATCACCAGCTCTCAACCAACTCTGGAGCTGGTCAGTTTGAGTTTTCAAGGCTCCTGCAGTTCTAACTCTGACAAATATGGCAATATGGTCAGGTCAGAGGCTAGGAATCCTGCAGCATAAAGCTCACCTGCTGACTCTCCAAAGCCTGTCCACCATCTTCAAGGTACAACTCAGGAGTGTGATGGAATACTCCCCACTTGCCTGGATTAGTGAAGGTCCACCAACACTTGAAGACAAAAAAGCCCACATAATTGGCTGTCCATCGCTATAACATTCACTCCCTCTGCCACTAACACTCAGTAGCAGCAGTGTGTAACATTAACAAAATGCACTGCAGAAATTCAACAAGGATTCTCAGATAGCACCTTCCAAATCCACAGCCACTTCCATCCAGAAGGACAAGGTGGGATGAAAGATGGGAACACCACCATCTGCAAGTTCCCTAGGAAGTCACTCAACCATCCTGACTTGGAAATATATTGCTGTATCTTCACTGTTGCTGGGTCAAAATCCTGGAACTCCTTATAGTGTTTAAAGAAGGCAGCTCCCCATCACTTTCTCAAGAGCAGTTATGGTTGGTTGTGTAAAAACTCCAGGCATGGTAAGTCAGTGATGCCAGTATTCCCTGACTGAAAATGAAAAACATTCAACCATTCAAAATAGATGTACATAGCACAAAAGCAGGAGAGTTTTGCTAAATCTTTGGGAAAGAATGATTTGAGAGAATTGAGTTTGCTTTGGGAAACTTCATGTTAAGAAGGATGTGCAGACATTAGAGCAGTGCAGGGAAGATGGACTGCAATTATACCAGCTCTGTAAAGAGACGGGAGAAATTGAGGTTTCTCTCCTTCAAGAAGAGAAGGTTAGAGGAGGCTTTCACAGAGGTGTTCAAATTCATCAGCAGTTTGAGAGAAACAATGAAGAGACCCTGATTCCACTGGCTGAGAGGATTGGATTTCAAGTGAAGTTGCTGTGATCTGGAAAGTACTGATAGAAAGGCTGATAGAAACAGATTTAATAATAACTTACAGTTGAGAATTTGATGCATCTATTTGTAGAGCTATGAGGAAGGAGAGATTGAATGGGATTCTTTGGGTAGGTCCAGCAAAGATGCAGCATGAGATCAGTGGGTTGAATGGCCTTCTTTTGGGCTCTATCAATCTGTGCTCAAACACTTGGTGTCTGTGTGTAGCAGAAGCTTTGTTCTGTATTTGCAGGAACCCAGCATCAGGTCTCCATAGGAGCTCAGTCAGTAGGAACAATGGGCCGGGTTACAGAAAACCTGCAGAGTCTGGAAAGGATGAGATGCACACAGCCTGTCTGCCTGTGGTTGGATCATGGGAGTTTGAGCGTGATGATGAGGAGTATGTGAAGTTTCTGGAGCTGTTCCTGAGCTACCTGTTGGAGAGAGACTGGATAGTGAATGAGGGACGAGCTGTCCCACTGCTAAGCAGCTGCTCGGCCTTTCTGAAGGAACAGGAGTTGAACTCTCTGGCATTCCAGGTCCACACCACCTTAAAGAGGAGGCAGATCAAGTCAAGAGCTGCTGGCCAGGTCACCACAACAAAGAACTGTTCTCCCCTAATGTCTGTGTTGCACCAGAACAAGAACCTGAGCTGTGGGGGAGGATCAAAACCCACACTCTCTTCACCCACTCAAGGGGTGCTCCATTCCACTGGCTATCCTGAAGTGCTGTCAAATGAGTCCATTATCCACAGCTACTTTCCTGCTGCTAGCACTCAAGGCAGGGCAAGTGGCAGAGGCTTGTTTGGATTAAAGTTGCACTCTTTGCCCAGTCAGTTAAATGTATTCCAGCACAGAGAAGCTGCTCCTCGGTCTGCCTGCTCCACTGAGGTGCCAGGGACAGCAGACCACACTCACTGCTCATCACTGTCTGCTCTGTTAGAAGAGGACCTCCCCCCTGAGCTGGAGATCAAGTTCCAGGCCACAGCGAAGCTCCTGGAGTGGATGATCCAATGGTCTGAAAGGAGGCTGCTCTGTGGCCCTCACAAAGTGGAGAAATTACTGGACAGCAACACTAACATACGAGTCAAAACATCAATGCCTGTCATCCTCCGCTCACTGTGGCTGCTAGACAGGGATCTGGGGGCCAAGGCACTGGATAACTGTAACCACAAGGTATGTTACTGCACAGCTTTCTCCAGGTGATTCCATTAAACCGGAGAATGGCTACAACCCACAAGGAAGCAAACCACTTGGTGCCACTCTCTGCCTTCTCTTTGGAATCCTGCAAATGTCTCCTTTTCAGTCAACAGTCTAAATCCCTTTTGAAAGCCTCAAGTGAACCTGCCTCTCCCCACTCTCAGACAGTACATTCCAGACCCTAACCACTCGCTGTGAGAATGTCTTTCCTCATGTCATCATAGGTTGTTTTGCCAATCACATGATATCTGTGATCCATATATCTAGATCCTTCCAGCAATGGAAGCAGTTTCTCCCTGTCAATTCCATCGAGTCCCCTCATGATTTTGAATGCCTCGATCAAAAGTGTCAGCTTTCTCTTCTCCAAGGGCAGCAGGCCCAAGTTTGCCAGACTGTGCACGCAACACATTCCAGGGATGAGGAACCTCATTCTCGTGATTTTTTTTCTGTATCCTTTCGAATGCCTTCACATATTTCCTAAGGTAAGCTGCCTGTAACTAATTGCAGTACTCTTGCTGAGGTTGGAGCTGAACTTAGACAGGTTTAAAGGAGTTTGGTGTTGAACTTGATGCTCATCTTGCTCAAACCTGGACTACTTTATTCTTTATTACACTAACTGCACTCTCAATCTGTCCTGCCACTTCCAGTGACTGATGCACACAGGTCTGTGTGCTCTTGAACACACTTTCAAATAGTGCCTCTTATGGTTTATTGTTCTTACCAAAATGAAGTTCTTTGCCCCTTGCATTAGGTTATATTTGGTACTTAATCAGCCATTCCACCGACTTCTCCATGTCACTTTGAAGTCCTAGACAAGTTCTGGGTGACTGGTTAATTCAGAATTTATTGTGCCCATTATCTTTGAGTGCCATGCCAAGCCATTTCACAGGCTAGATTATAGTCAATCACATTGCTATGGTTCTGGACTAACACGTAGGCCTGACCAGGTAAGAACAGCATATTTCCTTCCCTCAAGGATATTCCAGCTGTTGCAGTAGTAACTGAACCAAAGTACCTCAGAATTGCTTTGGTCATTGGATTACCAGCCCAATGACTTTATCATGATACTACCGTCTCCTCTCTCATACACCTCATTGTTTACAATACTTGAATGTTTCATAATAAGTAATCAGCCTTTATAATTATATCCTGTACACCAGGGTCCAGGTCACCCATGTATATCAGGGCAAGTGGGGCTCCAAATAGACTGTCATGAGGAATTCCATTGCAACCCTTCTTCCTGTCCGATAAATGACCTTTAATCATTCCTCTTTTCTCCATGCTGTCATACAGTGTGTATTTTTTGTCCATGAGCTGTAACCTTTTTCAAACCTGTTTGGCACTTTAGAGAATGCCTTCTGGAAGTCCATATATACCACATCAACAGTATTACCTTGATCAACCCTTTCTGTCATCTCTTCAAAACAATCTCCAGCAAGTTAGGTAAACATGTTATTCTCTGAAGAAATTGCAGTGGTTTTTCTTCATTAACCCATAAATGACTGCACATTTTGTCACTCATTACTGTTTCTTGAGGTTTGTCCACCACTGAAGTTAAACTGACTAGAATCCTAAACGGTCCTTTGACCACAACCCACACCTCACAAACACATGCCTCCTCTCTCTCTGCTTCTCATCTCCTCCCTGATCTCCTGTCACTTTGCCCACCTTTCACTGACACCATCCACCTCCTTCCCGCAGTCACTGTACACAACTATAGAGGCAGATAGGAAGCCTGTTAGTTTTATAACTGAAGGGGCAGACTGGGACCTGTTAGTTTT